GAAATTTTCAATGAAAATATAAATAATATCAATGTAATGATAATAATTATGTTACAAGTGCAAATTGACACAACTACATATATTTTTTTAAAAAGTACCTATATGCGTGAGTTTTTATTCTGTGTTGTATTATTTTTTTAATAGTATCTCAAACTTAATTATTTGTATCAATTGTATTTTTTTTTAAAGATAAAGATGGTTATATAGAATGCTAGTTAATAAATAATATCTTATACATTATGGTGATAAATACATATTAAAAAGCCAAGTATTAATATTATATTGTAAATAGTAAATATGAATAATATTTATAATAATTTTTAGGATTATTAAACATACTTTTATAAATTTTAATGTATAAACTAATGCACAACTTTATATCAATACAAAATATACTAGTTACAAGGTAGTACCAAGTACTAATTTTTAGAAAACATAAGTATTAGAATATAATACTAAATATGATAGCACAGATAATGAAATGCATTTTTAAACATACGCTGATCAAGGCATATTGGCTATTGTCTTTAGTGGTTGGTCAAGATATCTTGCTAGTGCTTGTGCTTTTTCTCTTAATAAACCAAAACCCACATTTTCTTTTGCATACAAACATAACAATAAATTTGCTACTTCAGTAATTACAACCTTGCCCTCCTAAAAAAATTGTTTAATTAAAAAGGGTACCTTATAGCCCTAATTTTATCTCAATTTTTTATATAAACTACTTCATTGTTTTATATAAACGAAACTATCAAACATAAATTATTATCTTATGGATTTTTTCACTACAAAATTTTGTTGCTTAGTCTGAATAATTACATTGCAGTTACAATAAGGATGTCTAATAATGAAAATTATTTAACAAAAACAAACAATAACTTAAATTCAATAATAGTGCCAACATAATATTAATGTTTGTAAATAAAATTCGTAGATATACAATTAATTCATACCAATGTAATATTTATATCATAATTTACATACAATGATCATAACATAAAATTAATCAATACTTATATATGATAAACTACAATCTATCATTAGCAATAAATATTAATAAATATGTTAACTATTGTTGATTAGAAGGTATATTATAGACAACTATATTA